GAAACTGACTCTTCAAACTGTTAACTCAATCAGGACAAACAATTGTTGTCACTTGTAATAAGCTAATGAGGCAGGCGGGGGCTGCAGCAAAGGGATGCAAGGGATAATATTGGCTGTCTGTTTACTAAAGGTGTGATTCTGCCATGAGACTTGCTGCATTTATGTGAATAGCTCCACTGACTGTGCTGCTGCTACTCCTGTGTGTAACAGCCCAAGCATGGGTTGCAGAATCAGTCTGTAAGGTAGCAGGCAAGGTATATCTGCTTTGCAAAAGGCCAATTCTTTGCATACAATTTACACTTACAAATGTTTGTCTTGTCCTTAAAAAAAGAAGAAAAAAAAGGCCAAATCGGGGAACACAGCTCTGTTTACAATCATACATCACATATAGACGGTTTGCTAGGCACATACTCCACACGTCACGAATAAACTGGATATGCTACTTGCCATCAACACAGGAAGGTCTGTTTCTTGTTGTCCCAGCCACTTTCCCAGGTAGACAGGAGCATTTTACTGTTTGTGATCTTTCCTCAATTCGATTCTTATTACAACATCTGTGTGCTGCTATAACTTCACACGTTCCTCCTTCTGGCAAAAGAGAGAGAATATTGACACACTGATTAGGAAGAACTGCAATGGCCACTCAAAGCATCCAAGCATGCTGCTCCGCTCTCTCTTTGTGACGTAAGGGTCTGCCTACCAAAGGATTAGAAATGTGGTGTCTTCCATTATGTGCACTCTTGTCTAGGGCTGGTGTTGCAATGCTTCAGATTTAATAAGAAATGCAAATAATTGCCCCCCTTCCCCACCCCAAAGAAGATAAGGCACCAAATCCTTCCTGCCTGTTGTAGGTTATTAGCCTCTTTCAGATCAATACAACTTTGCGGTCTGAATAAGGGGCCGTGTCATCGTACAGACCTGAAGGCACGAAGATACAGTTAGCACAGAAAAAAGCCCTCCTATTTGATTTCATCTCTCTTCCTCACACTGCCAGGCTATGCTCTTTGACACATTTACAGTGAATCAGAGAAGCCATCTGGAAATAAGCTTCCCAAATCGCAGTGAACCCCAGTGTTCAGGTCACGCAGAGGAAAAATCAGTTATTGTAGGTTCTTAGTATAGTCCAGGGTTTTTACCTCCCCAGAAGCCCCGAACAGGTAGTCCCAATGGAAGCAAAATTCCTGGATAATCCCAGGTCATCAGACATAGTATTTGTTCTTTGTTTTGTGCTTTATTAACATTTGCAGCCGGTCGCTTAGATAGACAGAGCCGTGGAAAGATAGATGGACAGACAGTAGCACATGGATTATGAATACTCAGCTAGGACATATGCTGTGTACAGAAATGAAACGTCAAGAGCACTATTCCCATTCACCTTAGCAATGTAGCACAGGATGATTAGGCTGCACAGTGGGTTAGTTCACTGCCCATTACATTTCTCGAGACCCGAGTTCAAATTGTCTTTTGCTCCTAATTGCCAAGCATTTAATAGTCTCAGCCTGTTCGCTGGCGGATATTTGTCCACATCGTGAACTTGCTTCATAAATTCGGCAGTATTGGTTTAAAACTTAATGCAAAAATTTCCACGCTGTGCAAAAGAGCACACTGGGTAAGAAGGTGTACTGGTTTTACTATGGAACTGATTCTATTCTTGTCATCCCACTATGAGACGCTCCACTGTATCTTGCTTTACCTACAAGGAGCGGCATAATATAAAATCCATTGATTATGCAGTTAGATTCTTAGGTCTTTGTTGCTTTCTTGAAAGACTCCTTACAGTAAAGCAGGTAGCAACATGTGGCCACCCCTAAGAGACTTGGACCAGAGCATGAACTGGGAATCCAAGTCAAAGTTTTTGCCTTGTTGTGGGACGCAAGGAAGTTACAACCTCCCTCGTGCAACAACTGATGTCCTATTGGTGCAGTGAGACAGGTACTCTGGAGAGAGCACTTCCTTGCAGTGGAGGAGCAGGCAAGGGGTCTTGGCTTAACTTTTCTACTGCTGAAGTTATAGTAAGCAGGACCAATTGGAGAACAAACTCCCGTCTTGCTTTCCTACATAGCTGAGTAGATAATGTGATGAGTGAGCCCAAAGTGAATGAAGTCCATTAAATAATTATAGTAGCATACCAAGAAGGAAGGATAGTGCAGCACAGTAAACCCAGCAGTTACAAAAAAGACCCTGTAGACGATCTCTCTATGAGACCGATTAAAAACTACTTTCTTTGAAGAGGATCCATGTATTTTATGCAACTGGGAATGATATGCGACAAGCACATCCAAAATCCACAATAGCTCAAGGCCCCCAACTGAGAAGGACCCTGCCCCACGTAGAAATGCTTTACCATTTTAAATATTCAAACCTTTACAGGATGAGCCAGTCAAAGCTGCTTAAAGTCCATTAAGGTAAATGCCCCTAGGTCACATACACAAGGGGCTTAGGCTTGATGAGCTTGCAAACTTGGGAGAAGATGGGCTCCACTGTTAATACTTAACTTTTCTTGACAAGAAGAGCTGGGTCCTGTATTATGTATGTAGGTATTTGGCCAACTGATGCAGCTCTTTTATGAGCCAATATGTGCAATGGCAGAGCATCGCAGAATGGAGGCCCCATCAAGTGTCCCATGGGAAAAGGGGTTTTGGGCCCACTGAGCCCAGCTCAGGATAAGAGCTTGATCCAAATCCTACTGAGGTCAATGGAAAATAAAAATCCTACCTAACTGACTGGCTTCAGAATCAGGCCAGAGATACAGTATTCAAATATACAGTTATGATCTGACTCTGATAAACTGGCAGATTTGACTGTGTGTGAGCTGGGCTTTCAACAGGCAACAATGCACATCAAAAGTACTGCATCTATGGTCCTGTAAATACTGTAAGTAAGCTAAATGTTTTCTTTTCCTATTAATTTCCCAGGCAGGACCTACTAACCATGTGAGATCAGCGAACAAAAGCTGGCCTTGCTGACTCGATTTTCTAGGCAAAATAATGGGCTGTGGCTGATGAGCTCTATAACACCTATAATTATACCGTGGAAGCTCAAGTTCATGTTGCAATAAAACATTTAACTCAAGAGGACGGGTATTTAAGAATGGTGAAACATAATGAAGCTATAAAGACAATTTAAAGGAACGAAACTTTTGTTGCTACTCTTCTGTTTAATTCTTTGTTAACTGGGACTTTTAAAATTGGTGTAGCCTATAAATCGTATGGCAAAAAAAATCTTCCCTCCTCCACCAAAATAACATGCCATATCATAAGAAGATGCTAAGGGTAAATTTTCAGCCCCTACTTCACAGGTTTTCAGACAAAAATTTGGTGCGTGATGCCAAACATTTCATATCAAATACTAGTAACCCATCGGCCATCCCTGCAAGGGTTAGAATTTGCCCCTGCAAAATCTTTGGCTGCAAGAGATTCTGCAGGGACACATTTTGATAGCTGTGCACACAAGTGCTTGATTTTGGAAAGTACACGTGTACCCATGAAGATCTGTGCACATGTAGAGAGGTCAGGGAAGGCTGCACAGAAAATATGCACCTGCATTACTTCCATAAACATAGTGGCTATGTACAGACGGTCAAAAAGTCTGAGGCTGAATTGATTCAATCTTTGCAGGTTAATTTAAGCTAGTGAGCAGACATTTACCTTTGATTCTGGTAATGCAGCCATATGCCTGCAGTGTCCCAGGCCAGAAGGTGGGAGGCGCTAGAGCCTGCCTTCCTACTTAGCTGTAGCAGACAGCCTGGGCCAAAGCTAACTCACCCATCCTGTGAGGGGAGGTTTGTCGGGGAGGTGCAAAGCATTCTGGGATGTGGGGGGCTGTGAGTTAAGTTGAATCTGGAGAGGATCTGGGACAGAAGTTCAATAAACCCATTTAACCTAAATCAGTTAAGTCTGATACTACATCCATTCGGGTTTGTCTTAAACCAGTTTCAGCCATTTTGTGCACTGGCCTTCTGTTGTGTTACAGATCTGAACCAGTTTGTGATTGCTTATACCGGTTTATGTATAATTTCTGCCCTTAGCCATACTGTCCTTAACTTATAAAAGATGAGCAAGAGATTAAACCCCCGATTCAACTTTTTAATGCAATGAAACAAAGCCTTAGGCCTGGATCTCTTATATTTTGCAGCCTTTTACCTTCAGATCCAGATGCTGCAAACCAGGCTCACTTCTATAATCAGGACATTTGTCCACATATAAACTATTACCAGACATCAGGGATTCTTAAACTTTTTCACAGCACAGACTACATCGTCATTGTTGCAATACCTAGGAACTCTAGAGTCATGGATAAGTAAACAAGTGTGTTAGGTGCTGTGCAAACATACCCGACCCCAAAAAGTTTAGAGCAAAGGATTATATTGTAGACATTCATCTCTTACTCATGTTAAAACCCACTCATTCCATGAACACTTGATATTTCATGTTGGTCTTGGTTTTGAATGGGAATGCTGTGATACAGCATGCTACTGAGTGGGTCTCAGAGGCATGGAAAGTCTTACAACAACACAGTACGGCTTCTGGCTAGAACTGTAGAAAATGCCCGTTGGCAGTTGCTTTCTATTGAAAGGTAACAATGCATACAGATAATCTGACTTTCATGCCTGATTGCCTAAAAGTTGCTCAGAAAACTAAGCCTATCTAAATACCACTAGAAATAATAATCTGGAAATCTTTACAATGGTTGTGATGTTCCTCCCACCCCACATCCCCATTATTGCTACATGGCCTTTCCTTGAATAAAATCTAAACAAACTCATTTTCTCTACTCTTATTTGTGTCGTTGCTCAGGCTTTGTTGATTAAATGTTAGGGATTAAATATTCACTAAAGCAGGTCTTTGGTAGAGACAACACAGAGATAAGCAATCATATGCCCTCCTGAGTCTGGAGTCATTAATAAAAAGATACTGAAGAGAGGATTTTAAAATGCTTTTTATGCTTTCCCCCTCTTTCTTGCAGGGGGTTCACAGAGGAGTGAATTGCCTTGAGTAACACTGGGCCCCTGCTAACAAGACATCTCCCCGCCTCCAGGACAGGTGCAGTTTTAAGGTGTCAAAACTGGATATGCTACTTGGCAGCCTGCCTATCTCTGTTGCGATTAGCTACCATTGTCCTTCTCAACGTGAGGGCTGGTCTCTGACTGACATATGGTAACAGCTCCATTAATTGACTTCAATTAATCTGAGACGTTTCACAAACTGAGGTTTTTCCCCACCCGAAGTCTTCATTACATTTATAATATGGCGGTTGCTTAGTTTTGGGTTTGTTTTTTTTAAGAGAAGCTACCCAACACTTTATACAAGTATATCATTGTCGACATGGGTGATAGACCAAAATATATATTGTATGAATGTGCAGTCATGTTTATAGACTTTTAAAAAACATGGATTATTGACTCAAGACTGTAAGAGCTCCCTGGGAGCCATTACTGTGAGTGTCATAAATGCATATTTAGGGACTTGTATAAAAATGTGGATTATTGACCTGATAGGCTGTAACTGCACCAAAAGTTTAAATCATTGTTGCAAATGACAGGAAAGCCTTTTCTGAACATTTTATGGTCTACTGAGCGAATGTAGCTG